TGTGTGTGTGTGTGTGTGTGTGTGTATTTTTGTATCCAAAAAGGCATTGCCAAACCCAAGGTCATCTAGTTCTTCTCCTGAGGTAACTTACATTTTATTATTTGCATCTTACCTTTCGCTGTGGATCTAGTCTTAGTTGACTTTTGTGAAATATGTAGACTCTTTGCTAGGTTCATTTTTTTTGCATGTAGATACCCAGTTGTGCCTGTGCCATTTGTTGAAAACATGGCCCTTTTCTCCATGTGACTAATTTTTTTTTTTAAATTAGAATCATTATTCATTGCCTTTCTTATATCCTATGAGTGGGTAGCACTTTATAGTCAGTAGGAAAAAGAATCTTAAAATAATCATGGGCAATACCCTGAATCGGTCACTATCAACAAATCTCCATAGAGAGCCCATTTCATTTCAGATGTATGGCTGGGACCTCAGGGATACAATGCTGAACAACACAGTGAGTAGTTCCAACCCTCACACAGTTCACCTTCAGGGGTTCTGGGAGGAAGTCTCTGAGACGTTAGTGATAGTGGTAATTACTATGTGTGTAGGACTTCATGGTTTGTAAAGCACTTTCCCAGGTATTATCTCACTTCCTTTGAGCCTCAAAACAACACTAAGAGTGGATATGGCTAAGCCCATTTTACAAACAAAGACACTGAGAAAACCTCCCAGAGGTGGCCAGATTTACTCAAGAACTCACAGAGAAGATCTGGATGGAAGTGGACCAGAGCCCTTCGGACTCTCAGGCTACAGTTGTATTACATCTGCCTCTGGTTCTTCTTGCAGTGACTTTGGGCACTTTGCAAACCTCAACCTTGTCATCAGTAGTTGTTGAGTCCCTGTCCTTTAGCTCAAAAGGAAGCACTCCAAGCTCTGAAACTGATTCCACAATGAGCCTCAGCAGCATTTTTACAGTAAGTGTGCATAGCTCTTCAAGTAACTTTTTGGATGGGGAAAACCCTCTTGGTCTTCGGTCACCTGTAAAATATGAGAATATCAGAAAAGATATGATAAGGGCATTTGTTGCTGAGATTGGCATCCCAGTGTCAGCACCACTGCAAAGAATGAGTGGTACAACCTGTGGTGATGTGCAGAGAAGTGGCTGGTCAGGGAAAATCAGAGCCAGGGCTCCAGCCTTTAGGAGTAGGAGGGAACAGACGTTACTGTAGTAGACTATGACAGGGAAAGTTGGAGAGTAAGAGAAGTGGCCAGTAGCTTGGACCTTCTATCTATC